AAATGAAGCGTCATGTTATGACATTTGACTTGTAACATTGACATCTAAATTTTTATTTCTGGAGATTGGAAATATCAATGACATTTACGCGCCAAAAGTGGCTTGCTATAAAAAATGATTGGTTTTAACTGATTGGCTAGTAGGACTATGTTAAAGTTTATGGTGTATTTTTTAATTCACTTTTACATAATGGTGAATTGCATTCCCAATAACATTAACACTCTGTTTTTTTCTCACGAAATATTTTTGTACTTAACCTATAAAAAAGATCTACAGAAGTGTAAAACACAATATCATCAACAATTTAAAGTTAATCTATATTATCCATAATGTATATTTTCCATAATCTGTATTATCCATGATCTATATTATCCATAATCTATATTATCCATAATCTATGTTATCCATAATCTATATTATCCATAATCTATATTATCCATAATCTATATTATCCATGATCTATATTATCCATAATCTATATTATCCATAATCTATATTATATATGTATTAGTTATTTTCACACATTGTAACTAGGAAAGCAGACAACATTATAATCCACCCCATTTAACACAAGCTCTCAAATAAAGCACCCAACTCACTAAAGCACGCCATTTTTCTCGACAGAACCCCACATGTATTAATAATATATCGCTCTGTAAGAAATCGCAAACGCGAGGGTGGGCTAGCTAAATGCTCCTCGATCCCTACGGACACAACCAAAAAAAAAAAAACTCCAACCAAATTTCAACTTTATATCTTACGACGTTTGGTTCAGATTTAGTCTCTTCGCTAAGGTGCTTAATCACATCGGACCCTGCATAATGTGTATGTAGAACGGTCGCGCGCACTTAGGCCTTTTTTCGCAAAACTGACGCCTCGCGAATACAAGATGGCGGACCTCTGTATTTTGTTTTTAGGTAATTACGCGCTCTTCACAGTTTAAATGGTTTTTAGAGAGGGTGAAATCATTCGGAATTAGAATGTTATTGTTTTTAGCTTGGAGCCAGATTGAGTCGGGAGAGATAAAAACGTAAATAAAAAGACCTAATGCGAATGTGATGTGTATTTCGTTACAATGAACAAACAAACTTAAAATTATACTGCTAGCAAAACTAAACATAACAAAAACAATCCTAAAGTAAAATTAAATTAAGTTACATGATTTCAAACCATCGTAACAAGTTATAGTAAAAAAGCCATTACAAAGCAAAGCTGAAAGAAAAATTAATTAGGCATTACAAGACAAATAATAAAATAAGAAAACAAGATATCTTGTTCACAAAAAAGCTTAACAATGTTTTACATCTGAACAAATTTATGATTCCTTTCTATCGTTACTCATAACAGTAGGTATTATCCACATATTTATTTTTACCATTCGAATAAAATAGGGCAAAACTATTATAGTAACAATCCAATAAGTCGCTTTAAAAAGCTCTCTTATCTTTTAAAAAAAATCAACGATTAAAAACCATGAATTCACAAGAGTTCATTAATGTAAAATTTAATAGGTACTGGCCACCGACTGGACCTACTTATTTTGAAATTTAACAGACAGCTGGTGGAAAAAGGTAATTTCATTTTTTCTACAAACAATATAAAAAGAGCACTAATACTAATACAATCGATATTTGAGGTATCGGAAGTAAATATTGGATTTGAATCGATTTTGTGTTTGTTGAAATCAATATCGGTAATCGATATGTACTGCAGCTGCTTAGTTACAAATATGAATATTAAATATTGATGATGAGTGTACACAACTGGTTAAAACAAAATGTGTTACATTTTACCCGCGAATGGCGTTATTAATTGATATTTCAAACAGTTATTAAAATGTATTATTAATTTAGTGGAGATGTTTGTATATTTTGTTGCGTTGCCATTTCCATAAGTTATGTCCAATTGAAACTTCAGTTTGACAAAAACTCAAGTAAAGTAGATTGCTAGTATGATTGAAGTAGATTATTCTACTAAAAATGGGTTTATGCAATTAAGTTCAAATGTTCTTTTGTTTTATTGAAATATAAAATGTTTTCATGATTATGTGACAAAACTTTGTTAGTCAGTAATATAAAAATGAATGAAATGTGATTTTTTTATTAAAAAACTCTATTTTATTTTTAAATTAAAAAAAAACTATTTAAAATGCATTTTAGTAAGTCAACTCATACACCTACTTAGATGATATTGATTTGATTGATTTTAAACCGCCTTTTAAACAAGAGGAGATTAAGATTCGATCTGTTTGGATCCCAAATCGAGAAATCGAGGAAACCCTTAAATTTTATACGCTAGTGCATAGTGTTTCATTTTTTTAGCTATAGAGGTATTTGTGTTTGGTTGTCATTTTCTACTGATGACTTTTAGGAGTTGGGGAATAATTCTTTTAAAAATATAATCAAATAAATAATGAAATATGACCTTTAGCTGTATTCGTTCACGATACTTGTTAGGTATTTGTCGGGTTACAGAGATATGTATTGTACACATGAAAGTAATAAGATTCTAAGACATTTTCACAAATAAAAAATAATTTGTATGTTCGGGACACAATTATTTTTATGTTTGTTACCTCAGAACTCATTAAGTTGTACTGATTTGGATTTTTTATGCAAACATGAGTTTTCTCTATGATTAATTCTATAAACTATAAATAAAGATACAATACTTCGCAACGCCAAATTTGAAATAAAAAAAAGAATTATGATTGTACCTAATAAATAAAAATTTGTGTATCTGTTCGTATTTACTAGTTGTACAAGAATGATGAACATACGTCATTCAATCGGTATGTTTTTTTCGAGGTTTATTTTTAATATATCTTAATTCTTTTAAAGTTATTAATGTTTCCTGACACTTGATTTTCATAGGGATTTAAGTATACCATAATTAAGTATTTAGGATTGGGTCACATATTAACGGTTACTCTACACGTGAACTTTACTGTACACAATGCAAGATTAATTGTATAATTACCTTTTAAAAAAATATAACCGACAACAAACGTGTCAACCCAGGCGGTGCTATGTACATAGGCTACAAAAATCGAATTAACCGTAATGCAATGATATTTTAGGGAAGATAGAATTAGTAAAGGTAATCAACTATAAAAGTCCACGTACGACGAAAAAGACAATTTAAATCTAAAAAAACCACAAAGACTTTAAAAAAGTTTAACCAACTTCAATTCGCTTACATTAAGACGAATTGCAATAAACTGTTTTCCTCATTTCTTAATTTTTCAGCCATAGAGGCGATATGTTTTCTTTAAATTTGAATGGAACCAATAGACAAGTGTACCCTCCGGAATGAGTACTCAAGTAACAAACAATAAAACAAAACAACTGAATTGGAAAACTCTTTAGAGTCGAATTAAAAAAGATTTTTTTTATGTTATGTTAGCACTTTCTTTTAAATTACTGCCAGTGTCGTTCATTTATATTTTTAAGCTTTCAAAGATAACCTCAAGAATAGAAATTTGATCGGACATTCAGATATGATGGTAAAATGAAAAACTTAGAAAAGAGCGTACTCCTTCCTAAAAGGCTGAGTTGAGGTCATAGGCGGCGATGGTCACTTTTCATCAGGTGACCCGTCTGCCCGTTTGTCCCCTCTAACATAAAGAAAAACTTACAAACGTACTTATCAATAAAGCCTGACAACATTTCACATCTTATAGACCATCAAATATTAAAAAAAAATTCGGACTCTTAAAGGACTTCACAAAGGATCATTAATTTCATCATCATCAATCATCAACAGCCTTTAACAGTCCACTGTTGGACATAGGCCTCTCCTTAGAAAGGAGGTTTTGCCTTTATTTATTTAATTTGATGTACCTAATACTTTTTTTACTAATTTTTGAAATTTTAGTTGTTAGTTTAGTTTTGAAGGTTGGGAGTAGTATATTTTCTCCGAGGTACTGAAGTCAGTACGTACATAAAGGCAGGATCTTAAGTGATTGACAAGGTTTTAATTTTTAGGTTGTTGGTTGTGTTACTTATCTACTTATGGATCACATTTTCAATGATCATTGAGTTTACATTTTTTTGTAATTTTAAAATAAGTGTCTCTTTAAATGTAAACATTTTAATAACTCTACGTAATTGACAATAGTTCCTGTTTTCTTCCTTTGTTTATTTCCTGATAAGAATTGTTTTTATAAAAGTTGTGATTATACTAGTAATAGAAAATAATCTTCCAGAAGCTTTAAATTACGTTCATTTTTCACCTTTGCATATATTAGATTGCAGTTGTAATTGAAAACAAATGTGCAGAATTATTTCTTTTTAACCTAAACGAATAAAGGTTTTTGTTTACATTTTTCAGGTGAAACCATTTTTATTTTGTAATTTTCAGAATTATGTAAATACAATAGATGGGTATTGTTATTTATTTAGCTCTATTGACGACAAGTACTCAAAATTAATTACAAATTTAGTTTAAGTAGGTAACTGCTTTTGCAATTACTGCAATTGGAAGTAATAATTTTAGAATTTTAAATTTTAAAAGGGGCTCCATAGTAGCTGTCTGTTAACTTTTTTTAAACTTCTTTAAACAAAAACTTTTTTTTTTTTTGTTTGCACATATTTTATTATTTACTTTTTAAGTTATTCAACCAAATTTTAAGACACCACATATCGCTAAATGCAGACAATACTAAAATGTCTCATTTCATCTAAATCTTGATACACCAATGGATTATCAATGTTACAATGTTTAAAATCATTTTCGTAGTTATTAGACTCTCGTCTGATTTGATCAATTAAACACTTTTAAATCGACAGCTAGTACATTAAACCCTTAACCTATTACATTTTGTAATTCTTAATCAAAACAATTTATTAAAGATCCGTTCAATCAACCAAACAAGCCGCTTATCGATTATCGAGTATCGATAAAAGAATTTCAGCAGCGAAGTGTCGGCGCCCGACTGTGAGTAAATATTGGTTCGTTTTGTCTTTTTTACCGAACGGCGTCCGTGGCCGAGTTAGAGGTTATTGTTCCATTTTTGAATTTCGCGCCCAATTTTGTTTTGTTTTTGAGGTGTAATGGAGCCTCGTCGAAACTGTTTTCGTATGTAGACGTATCGGTTTGCGCTGCGGAAAACAAAGATGGTTGATCAATTGTGGCAGATATTGCCAACAGTTTTGGACGTGTGGTGTATAAAGTGAGAAAACAAATGAGAAGATTATTTGGTTTAATGGTTATCGTAATAAAAAATAATAATAATAAAGCCTATTTACCAAGTTTTTGATCAATAAATGAAAACGGATGGGGTTGATCAATGATGGCAAAAAATGACAACATTTTTATCACTTGAAGCGAGACTACAAAAAAAATTCTTCATTTATTTCAATAGGTATCAACAAAAATTAATATAGATAATATTATAAAGTATTATGTTAGATTAATGAGAGAATTTTCAGGACTGATTTTTTTCGACATTGGAAAATATTAAACAACCTATTAATAATAATTGAATAAAGCACAAAAATCTATTTTATTTCATAAATCACGAACAAGACTTCAAACAAACAACACACGTTAAACAGAAGTAGCAATCTGAAGTAATAAATAAATTAAATCGACGCAGGCTGTCACGAGACAGCCGTAAGTGAAAAAAAGAATCTAAAAAAATCGCAGCAATGGTTTAGTACCCAACAACAATTGTTGGACGCCAATTGTTGTCATTTTGCGTAAAATGGAACGCGTTGGCCGTATGGCGTGCGTCTGTGCTGTGCCCTGTTCAAATAAACAAACAAATTGGTTTTTTACCTGTGGTCTGCGCATCTCGTGGTCTGGCTCAGGTTTCCTCGAAGTAGATATTTTTTGTTTTGTTTCACTAAATTCCTGTCCGAAATAACTATTTTCTTCATTGACTATAAGATCCGGTTTGGATACAACGAAAGTATTTCTTATTTATGCTGTTTTAGAACTGCTACTTTTGATAGAGAACAAACTTAATATAAAACATACTTATAATTTAGTTTGAGCATCTAACGGATTAACCAACTACATTTTTGCAAACGAATCTATCGATCGGTGGTCAAACTGAAAATGAATACGATCATGACTCGCTAAACTACCACACTTCGCATCCCCACCTTGATATAAAGAAGTTTATATACCTGGTCACAAACATGTTACCATACTAATATGCATTTAAAAAAAAGATACCACCTTACATGCAGTTTCATAGAGGACAAAATCTCTTGCATAATAAAATGTCAAGTTTAAATTTGGAACAGGCGAAAATGAATTTATGTGGTTCGAATAAAAAGAAACTGGTTTGCAAAATCGTTGCATATACATACAGGCTAAAGTAAATGCTTGTTGCAGCATTCTTGCTGCAAACGTGAGCTCGATGCAAAGGGTGCGACCCTTTTGTCCTGTGTACCTACTTCAGTATGTATAAAATCTTTACAAACGACGCCATTGTTATGTATCTATTGAAGCTGGCAGTAAATTTGATTAATTTGATTAGCTTTTGAGGGTTTTGTTTTTTAGAATTTATTTACGATCTTTATGACGTTTTAAATATTTGCGAGTTTTGTGAATCGACTACTATAATAGTAATGAGTGTCTTTATATGTAGTGCAGAGATACTTCTAGTTCAGGGATCTTTCTTTTTTAAGTACTTATGTATCTACTATATACTACTGTCCACGCAATCATAACTTTAAAGTAAATTTACTTCTTGATGTTTACTGGTGCCCCATGGTTTGTGACTAACGAACAACTGTACAACGATCTGAAGATGCCTACAATCAGGGAGGAAGTAACTAGACACACTAAGGCATACAGGGACAGAATATCAAACCACCCAAATATATTGGCCCAACCGCTTATGGACAACAGTTTGAAAATCCGTAGGCTAAAGCTCAGAATCCCCCAGGATGTGCTGTGATAAGAGCACATTATAACTAGAACAGGGTACGGCATTGGCCGCATCCCTGCACACGACTTCCAATTTATGCCCAATCTATCGCTTAATGTCCTGATAAAGAGACAGATTGCTGTATTAAAGATGAACAAAAAAAAAAAAAAGCTTCTTGATGTGGTTAAATAATATTATTTTATACAATAGGCTGCTTAATCCTCTTTCGTAGGCACACCCATGGGCGGTGTTTAGTAAACTACCCACCATTAAACCCTTGTAATTATTTTGTTATTTTAGTCACGTTCTTTTACGCCCATTACGTACATACACACCTAATATGTTATCACGCAAAAACCGTGACCGCAGAGCAACTTAGTAATCTAAATGCAAATCAACATCTGCATTATGTGGCTAAATTAAACCTCATTGGAATAATACGCACATACTTTTACTTTTTAAATGCTATTTATTGTTCGATATTTAAAATATATTTAAGATAGATGAGATAGTTTTTCACTTAATAAAAAATCTGCTTAAATTTGGAACAGAAAGTACCTACGTAATTGATTTATTTTCCATAAAAACGGTGTTAACAATGCTTTAGACATTAAATACGAAGAATTTTTTTCTGATAACAAAACTGAAAAACAGAATCCAATTAAATTTTATAATAACCATAAACTATTATATATTTTGGGTCATTAGATAAAACGTCATACCTTATGAAATACTAAATTGTTAATGTGAATACTTAAAAGACTAAATTGTTCGTCATCTCTAATATTTATACCTCCTTATTCATCATATAACTAACTAACAACATAGTATAAGCATTATAGTCTGCCTAGTATGGGAGCAGTCATCTATATCTAAGAAGTGTCAAGTTCTTTTAGGTATTATTTTTATTATTTATCATTGCGAAAAACTGTGACAAAGCAAAACGTGAAAAAAAAAAGTTAAAATAAGGTATATATAATCGATTTCCTATAATTACCCAATTACCCGCATATTTTAAAGTGATTCTGAAGTGACATGTCAAATATAATCATGTCAGTGGGATTTTTTAATTTCAGAACGTGACAAATATTTTGTCACTCTAGATAACTTTTTGCCAAATAAAACTGAAGGATACCTACTGTTGTAGTCAAAAGTCCTATAATCCTTAATTGAATTGTCGTCATAGGAGATTAGTGAATCTGTAAAGATTTTTTGTGTTACTGACACGCGAACTCGAAAGTACAAAAAAAGAAACAAAGGATCATCCACCAATTGTTGCAGATAAAATGGTAACAATATTTTTTATTAGTATGCTGTACAAAATTCAGAGATGTTTTGTCAGCATTTATATGTATGTATAATCTATACAAATAGCAATCACAATTGGCAATTCAAACTGTCCCCATTTTAGTTTGCTCATTTAAATCGAGCTCCGTGCAAAACGCAGCTCATGCAGTCATGCAAAAACCGGATCGGAAAACGGATAAAATCATTTTATTAAACCACGAATCAAACCTGTTCTAAAACAAGTTTTCTGCAACGCACAGGTACGCGGAATGCAAACTCCGTGCTGCAGATCACGAGAACTGGTTTCTGAACGCGTTTCAACATTGTCCTCAAGATTAAAAGGGGTACTCGAACAATCATTCGCACAAACAGAAACAGCAGCTGCAGGTTGCGAAACTCACACCAAACTACTGTAAAAAATCCTATACAGTTTAATAACTCCATTGATGTCATTAAAAAAGTAACCGCCATGAATAAAGCCATGAAACTTTGAAGCGTACTGGCATTCTGGCACGATTACTCCATTTATGATTACGATCCGTTCAGTGTTCCATTTATAAAATTGAATTTTAAAGTGTAATGTATTCATACAAAAGATGAAGTGTTCCAATTTATTATTTTTCACTAACTCTGAATGCCAAGAAAAGAAGCAAGCAAGTTAAAAAATAAAGCAATATTTTTAAAAAGCGTAATATTCACATTTTCCTACTAAGATAACGCTCTGCCGAGCGAAATATGAAAGGAGTTATCAAAACAATCTCGCGCGCACTAAATCATTGTATATAAGGGGAAGAGGAGTCCTATTTACTCGGAAACGGACAAAATAAATGTTTTTTATTACATAATGCGAATTTTCTCCAAGTTTCAATCCAGAAACCCTATCGCGAATTTGAGCTTTAACATGGAAAGAATATAGTTAAGTTTCTAACGTAGGTTTATTAGAGTGGATGTTGATTACAAAGAAACCTTTTCGTTGTTTTAACAGGGGCTATTTTCGTTTGTATAATACGAGGGGCAGATGGCGAGCTTTGTATATATAAAAAGGTACTGTTCACAATTTTAAGCAGAGGGATTTGGTGGCGCCGGACAGCGCACTGCCTTTCATCGTTTGCCTACATTGAGATACCTACCTACGGGCTGAACTACGAACAGAATGATCACTATAATGTAGTCAGAATAACAGAGTGTTAGTCAAAATAATAAGAGTTATAATATTTTTTAAACACTGAACACTGAAGTACTTAGCCTATTTGAAACCTGCGATGTCAATCATAACTGTTAAGACTGGAAACTATATACATACTGTCTTGTAATGTTTACTGTTTTAGAATATTCTTTATCGCAGAATAAATATGAACAATAGATCATATGAAGTTTACTGCTACTACACATTATCGCTTTTAGCGATAATGTGTAGTAGCAATACCGCCCGGTATTATCGCTAAAAGCGATATCTACAACACATGCTTTGAATGATTTTTTTTTAAAAGAATGTTATATATTTTGTACGGTCAGTTACTAGAGCTGACCGTACAAAATATATAACAATGAAAAAATTAGACATACCCAGAATAGATATAATCCCGTTGTTTTTCCCAACAGCCCTCTCCGCCTCTCGCTCGTCGTCTAGTTCTAATGTAATCTTATAAAAATAGATGAACCCCGTTCATTACGGCTTTTAGTTTACTGTCGTCACACCCTTGGTGGCGATTGTGACGTTATAAAAGTAGAAACAACCAGTGCTGTTATTTAGGTATTTTTATAAAAGACATTTTTAATAAAGAATTTTAACCGCTGAACGGATGAGATTAAGTTAGGAACACGAGAAAGGTTTAGAAGAAATAGGTATATAGGTATTAAGTTTTAATTAAAAGCCTTTTTTATTCATTGTAGGTAACAATGGCAAAAATCAATTTTATTGTTTGAAAAACTTAAACAAAACTTGAAAGGTCTGCCAATAATCTAAGTATGATAAATATGTCACGTAAATATGCTGGAATTAATGCGATTACAGGCTGACTGCGCAGCCTTGGCAACCTGGTCGAAACATCAAGTAATTTATAAGTATGTAGTACTAATTACTCGAGATAATTCCCATAATATGTCTATATAAATAAATACTTATTATAAAAAATGAACGTTAAAAGTTGGGATAGTAAGGGATATTTAGGACGAGAGGTGCCGTACTGAAGATATCTGATCATATTGGAGTAGCTGGACTGTGAATGTACTTCCACTTATGCTTTAGACATGACAGACTAACGATATTTGTTTCGGTAAGTAAATCTTTTCAGATATTTTACAAGTCGGACTTTACAGCTTGCAGGCGCCGTTATTTCCTAAGACGCACTCTGGAAAGTGTCAATTATTTTTTAAAATTCCGTGATAAAGAAATTTATGCGAGTACAGTATAGGGCCTGTTGGCGTTTTAAAGAAAAGGGCATAATTTTGACTCGGCTTATCCATACAGACGTCATACGGGCCTCAGCCATCGTGTAGCTTCTCCGAAATTTGGGTACATTGTCAGGCCATCCATACAAACGGCATACGGGCCTCAGCAATCGTGTAGCTTCACGGATATTTGGGTAGGCCGTGGAAAGACTCAAAACCACCAGAACGTTACTAAATATGAACTAACATTACAAGCCTACACTATACTCATATTTATATAATAGATAGTTAGTTTTTTTTTTAACAAAGTTCCTTATCGCGCATTACACGCTCTGAGCGGATGGGAGCGAGACCGAAAAATGTGTAACAAGACTTTTGTCAGACACTTCTTGTTATAGTTACAGCTCTCCCGCGAACTTCGTTCCGACCGTGTGTATATAGGCCCTTCGAGGCGTTTTATTGTAAACTAATAATTTGGAGCTAATTTGAGTACATTGCGGGTTATGTTCGCTTTAAGTTAGTCTTAAATTTGATGTGCTTCGCACATATGGGCCAGCTCGACCGGAGTGATACCCGCTTCCCTTATTTCTGATGGTAGGGGGAGGAGTTAAAGGGCGATAACGTGCTTGGGGCTCTTAAATTGTGTGTGGCCATGGGCGGCGGCAGTGACTCACCATCTATGAGAACATTATAATCATTTGTTCTGTATCTGGGTGTAATCACGCTGGTACCCGCGACTTCCTTAGTGGGTTTGATTTCCGGACCGGGCAAAATTTTAAAGGGTTTTTCTAAGAGGAAATTACTCCTTATATAGACAGCTACCTGGTAGTAAAATATTATCAAAATTGGTCTAGCCGTTTAGAAGATTACCCGGCAAAAACAGACAGACAAAAGGACTGGTTTTTAGGCATAGGTATCGTGCAAATAACCGTGTGAGCATGAAGAAAACCTATTATTTTGACATTACAAACATACACTTCAATTTGATTTATTTGTAGAGATATGTTTGGGTTAAGTCATGAAAATAAGTATCTGGTTTGGGATAAGAAGGTCGTGTGCTCAAGCTATTATGATTGTTAATTAATTCTAGTCAATAAATTTTAAAGTTAGCTACTAACAAGGTTTATGGGTTTAAAATACAGCGACCTGTTTAGGGAAACACCTACCTTTGATAACTCTAGGCTTTTTATATAGTTTTTGCATAAGTTACCTCCCGATTCTCTACTACTGAGTTAAGGTGAAGGTATATAATTACCTTCTCCAATAATACTAGCCAGAGCAACCAAACGTCTGTCTTCTATATTCTTAGATTAAAATGAATTGTCAGTATAAAGTAGAAAATAATAAGCCACTGTTTACTGTGTACATTCTTAATTCGAATCGATCGATTATGTTATATGAAAAGTAAGATAGAATGAACAGAAAAAAAAACATTATATAGGTCTATGACACAAACACAATACATTTCTTTTTTAATTACACACAAGACATAATTTTATATATTCGAATAAAGAACGATGATGTAGAATCATGTAATTTTATCATCAAAGAAATAAATAAACTTAACAACAGAAAGGTGCACAACTCATGATCATCATTTATTCATTGTTTTTAACGTAAAACAGATTTTTACAAATAAATGTAAAATTTTAATCTCATTGCTAATTCTCATATTTTTCCAATAAATTTGTTTGAAAAATATAAGAGTCAACCGAATCAATCCATAATATCCAAATCCAATTTTGGCAAAATTAGGTATAAACAAAAAATATTATGCGTCCCTTGAAAGCGGTATAATACCCACGCGTTATAAGCCCATATCATAGATATGGAAGCATAAACAAAAACAAAGCGCCCAGCCCCGGGCTATTCTAACCTCGAAACATAATTCTTTCTCATAAGCCCTCAGAAACAAAAAAATGATAGCAGAGACCGCTCCAATTATAAAAGGCAGTCGCCCCGAAAACCCTCGGCTTAAAAAAATAATAAAAAAAGTTATTTAAATAAAACCCGGCGCCCACGCTGTGTGTCGCATAAATTGCCTTCATTAATTTCCGGACCCTGCAAAATATTGTCTTGAAAGGATAATCAAATACAAAAACGTGGAAATGGCGGTGCGTCATTTCCATAACATTTCCCTGGCCTTCCCCCCGCGCTTTACCCCTCGTCGCCCGTTTTTCGTCCCCTTTTCCGGTGCCACCATCCCCTTTATGAGTCGTCCAATTACGACCCAACGACGGAGCTTAAGGCTCACATTAGAGAGAACGGCAATGGTGCAATTAGATGTATATAGAACCCGACGCGGTTTATGTACTACCAACATATTGTAGGGAAAAAAGTTTTTTTTCCACATATTATCTAGAATGACATGTGACGTGTCCCACATTTTTATATATACAGATATAAATATATATTTACTCACTGCACAGACTAGTATATATTACAAATAACTCCTTAAGAATAACAAGGTTGATTTTTGAAATATTTTTTATGTAAGGGTGAGAAAAGTCGAAAGTGAGAAAAAAATTTCAGGAACAACAACAACAAATAGATGAGTAATCGAGGTAAATTTGAAGTGCTTTGAAAACTATTCATCGATTCGAACTTTAAAATTATTTGAATTTCTAGCAACGGCAACATAACAAAACGAAGACGCATTGTTATTTTAACTATAGCAAATCTAAGTCAAAAAGTTAGGTACATCTGAAAATTAGCATCTCTTTTATCTATCTATATCTTTATTTATATATACATATATAGAAGCTGGAATAGTGAAGTGCATTTTAAATAAAGGGAATGTTCACTTCATATATAACCATTAAATATTTTTGGTTATTATTTTATTTATAAATGTGTTTGTGTGCAATGCTTTAAACATTTAATTATCTTTACAGTCAAATTTTTGTAGCCCGATAACTGTAGCAGATTAAAAA